AAAAGAACAAGTTGCAGCATACCATCAATCCCATAATAGGTTCCAGGATTACGTAACTTTGAAAAAGAATGCAAGAGAGAGTGAAACCTAGACTATTTGAAAACTGGTAAAACAAGCAAGTATATTTCTTGATCCTACCTTTATCTATAAATAAATGTAGAAAAACAGTAAATAAATTTATAGACCAAATGTACGCACCAAAGGCTAAAACCCAAAATTTTTATAGCCCCATTTAAAATGAAGAAAAGACCAAATATAGTCACTTAAGTTAGTATTTGCAGATTTTTGAGACCTAAGAAGGATTTAAACATTTTGAAATGTCTCTTCCTCAGGATAAGTTTGGCTACTGAGAATAATCATATGGTTTAAAAGTTGTTCTATTTCACATTTCAATGCTGATTATATAGTCATTCTATATTCTCCTAGGAATATGAAAATACACTCTGCATCGAGCATGTGATTTTTTTTTTAAGTCTAAAACAAACTACGTAGTTTTCTCAGTTTTTGAAAAAAATATCAAGCACCGTATCATTGAAAGATTTATAGACGGAAACTTTTGAAAACTCATTCAGAATGTATTTTTGAAACAATATGAGGCTAAAGTAATTTATAATTTGAAAAGGACAAGCAGTAGTGGTTGCCAAGGGCTTTGTAGAATTAAGAATCATTTTACATGGGTATATAAGAGATAAAAATGATTGGTCATGTATATCAATCTTTTTATAAAATTTATTAGAAAATATAAAGCATATTTTCACAACATCATTAAAAAATCAGAGGTATTCTATTTACGGCAATGTAGCAGATTTGGTGCCTAGATAATCTGTGTGCTAAATACAAAAGTGATAAATATGTTTATAAAACATATACAGTATAAATTTTATATAGTTTATTTTATACACACATATATACAAATGATATCCTCTTAAATTCAAAAATAATATCCAAAAAAGTAGTGGTTTTTAAAGCAAGAGACTAAGGAAAAGCAGAAACTCAGAGGTAAACAGAGTGATACTAAAGCACTTCAAGATTAATAAGACACCTATGTTCACATAAAAGGTTGAGTTAGATAAAGCCTAAAGCCCACTTTGCAGTACAGAAAGTAAAAGACTATAAAGTTAGCATAAAAATAGCTATAATATTAATGTTACTGTAAGCCAGAAATAAAATCATCCTATTCTTCTCTTTCTAGATGAGCTTTTGACAAATGCCACCAGAAGTGTAAACTTAAACAGATGAAAATAACAACAACAAAAACAAAACAAAAATCAAACAAATTCACAAATGTAATCCAGACCTTTAAGAGATAACAGCTTGAATTTTTCATTTAAATGACATAAAAACTTAAAATCAAGTATTTAGTTTCAGTGGTAGTTTAACTGGTGGTGCTCTAATGTATCAAAAGCAAATTCAAACTTCTACAGAAGGAATTTTTCATGCTATAAGAATATTTCTAGAAAAGCAATCTCCAGTAGAAGTATTTAAAAAATAAAAGAACCAACAAGAAATCACATTTAATGCTAGGTATCACAGAAATATTCACAGGAATTGAATAATAAAGTATAAAGTTTTGGATACAAAAAAGAGAAAACCTTGGAAATACGAATAAAATGTTTTTAAAATAAGGTAAAAATATTTATCATAAAAATTAAATTAATAGGTATAACACCCAAAAAGAGAAACTAATTTATAGTTTTAAAAGTCAAGCAAGATACAATTTATCTCTAGAGAAACTGTGACTGGTAAAGGTCTAGAGATTACCTGATTGCTGTTAATATTCTTAATTTGGATTCAGGTACTGGTATCACATGTGGCTTAATGTTCTAAAAGCCATTCAGTTATACATAAGTGTTGCTCAGTTTTTTGTATAGATATATTAGACGTCAATGAAGGTTCATAGAAAATTCAATGAATACCTTTAATAGTAAATAAACTACAACTGAAAAGAAAATTAAAAAACTGAAAATATATATTAAAGAAACTATTCAAAATGCAAACCAAATCAAAGAAAAATTATGAAACAGCAAAAAACTGACAGGTAAAATAGAATAAAAAAATAACATAAACTGTACATATATGTACAATTATAGAACCTTCAAAAGACAGTAACATTCAAATAAAAGATTAAAAAGTAAAAGATTAAGAAAGTCCTGAAAGCAAACAGAGACAAGGGACAAACTACCTTCAAGAAAAAACTTCAAAGGTCAACAAAAAGCAAGAGTCAGCACAATAGTATCCATCAAGAAAAAAATAGCTATAAATATGAATTGTATAAAAAGTTTTCAGAAAACTATCTTTCACAAAGTAAGTCAAAAATAGGTATTTTCAAACAAACTTGAGTTTGCTAATATACTACCACAAAAGAGATTCCAAAAGGTGCGCTTCAGGCAGCAATTAAAATCTCAGAGATGGAAGGAGAGAATGAACTGTGAAAAGAAATGACTACTGCAAGGCCTAACACAGGTGCTAGCAAATACATTACTATGATCAAATGTGGCCAACCAACCAACAGACTTTATAAATCAATGTGGATTATACCTGACTAAACAAAATATATTTACCAACTGGCCCCTTACTCAAAAAGTTTTCTAACTCATGAACTAATATATATGCCAAATCTAAACAACCATAAAATTAGATGAAAATCTTAAGAAATTTTAGAATTAAAGCCATAACGAAAATGTGACTATAATAATGAGTTAATTTGGAGAAAAAGATTATATGCTTTAAGATTTATGTGTTGCTAAGGAAGTAGAAGTCTGATGTACCATGTATTTTAACAACTTAAATATGTATATTAATATTTCTACAGCTTCATTTAATTTTGAAAAAAATTATTGATTTTTAAGATGAAAACTAGAGAAGAAATACCTTTTAATATGGAATGGAAAAGCAGAATTAAAAATAAGAAAGTAAAAGATATAAAGAAAACAAAGTAAGAAGACAATTCATAGACAGTATATTGGAGAATATACTGTAAATCCTGTATCTGAAAGTGCCTAGAATCCAGACTACATGAAGATTTGTTATAACCTCAACTATAGCAAGGGAGCAATGCAACTAAATGTGGATGAAAGAAGTAACTAGCAGTAAATATTTAAGAAGGTACACAAATGGCTAATAAAAGATGGTCAGTATCATTAATTAGGTAAATAAAAATCAAAACTACAATGAGATACTTACCTACTAGAATGACTAGAAATATACAAAACAGAATAACTAAGGAGATAAAATAATGGAGAAATTAGAACTTCGTATATTGTTTACAAAATGATACAGACATTTTGAACAATATTAGCAATTCCTCAAAAGCTTAAACATAAGAGGAATCGTTTGACCTAATAACTTTACTCAAGGGTACCTAACAGAAGTTAAAACATATTCATATAAAAATATACAGAAGAATTTTTATTCCAGATTTTTTCATAAAGCCAAAACATGGAAGTAATTCAAATGTCCAGCTGATAAATGTGTACTGAGAATGTGGTGTCTACCTATACAAAGAAGCACTATTTACCCATAAAAAGAATGAAGATCGCTATTAACATGTCAGTCTTGAAATACAATAAACTGTGAAAGAAACCGCTCACAAAAGATCACATACAGTATGATTCCATTTATATAAAATGTCTAAAATAGGCAAATTCAGAGAGACAGGAAGTAAAATGGTGACTACCAAGGGACTGAAGAGAAAAAGAATGAAAAGTTACTTCACACAGTGTAGTATTTCTTGTTTGTAAATTAAACTGTTCTAAAATTCTGTAGTGATATTAATTGCAGAAAATAGTGAACATATTAGATTACAGAACTGAATGCATTAAAAAGAAAAACTTTATGACATAAACTATGTCTTAAAGCTATAATATAAATAGTAGTTGGCTTTAAGTAAAAACACAGGAACAAATCATTTCAAACTTAAATATTATTTCAGAATTTACAGTAAAATAAGGAGCATCCTCAACACAACTTTAGATTAACATATCTTCATATGCTATACAATTGATATTGCAATACACAATTTCTAATAACCAAAGCCCATAGTAAATAACAAATATGTTGTAAGTACTAGACAAAAGATCCCTGTATCAAAACAAGGATTATGTAACAATAGTTTTCAAAAACAGTTTCCTTTAACCCTTAAAATTATATAGGATGATACAGGTATTCACACTATTAAGGACTAATAGTCCTGATGCACTGTCTACATTTGTTCAGAAAACTCAATTTCAAAGGATATTTCTGTGTAGAGCAGAAGAAAGAGAAATAACCATCAAAGTTGGAGTCAAAATTGTACAGGCAGTTGGCTTTTCAGTGACAGACAGTATGAATAGTAATCTGAATTAATAGCAGGATGCATATACCTACATACTAATAATATGAACAAGGTGTGACCCACTTAGCACTGTCAAAAATTTGAGTCTTGTTATTAAAATATAGATTCACATTATTTACTTTGTCATTGTTTGAAATTAATGTGTCAAGGTTCAAAAGTGTAAGAATTTACAATTCAGGACACTTCAATTTAAGAAATCAAATATGGACTGGAAAAAAGATTCATGGTTCTAGTAATCGAACAATTAATAATCCTGTAAATAAATCAGAAATGTAAAATATATTATGCTTGAGATAAATAACACATTCATTCCATTTTTACATATATTCATTTATAATTTAAGTGGTTTCAAGCTCAACCTTATTATTCTTTTTTCCACCTAATGCAAACATTCAAAGGCAACTTTTTTCCTAAGATAATTTTCCTATATTTACCTTTTAGTGATTATACTACACTGCATATGATCTTCTACAGACAATTTACATGTGCATATATGAATATACGGCTGGTTAAAAGGTTATGAATAGATAAACTTACCAAATGGTATGAGTTTATTTACTTGGGCCACAAAAATGTGTCAATAAGAAAACTAATTTCACATATATAAAAATTATTTAAATCTCAAAATATGAACTATTAAACATAAGAAGAATTTTTGTTTCTGTACCTTCTTCAAGGATGGGTCGTGGGATGACAAATGGGATTTCCTGTAAAGGTTCCATATACTTGTGACCAGCACTAATAATCTTTATTTGTGGTAAACACAAGACAAGCGTTCCTGGCATGCTGGATTGTCCATGGTACCAACTTCTCACTGTTCCAGGAATGTCACCAGATACAATTGTACTTGGGGAAGGCAGGCTATTGTTTGGAATGAACACACAACAAGACTGTACATCAAGCTACAAAAAGAAAGGAGAATTAAAATAATTGGATAGACTAAACATGCTGTTGAATGTATGTCTCCATAAGAATAAACAGACAAATCAGAAAATGAAAACATCTCCTATGTATACTTGCATTACTTTTATTAAAAATTCAACAAGTACTTTTATGCTATAAATTTAATCAAAACCACCCAATGACAAAAGATGAAAACTGACCTTTACAGTTCTTTCCAGGAAACAACAATTTCAGAATTTACTACCAAAAAGGGTGAAAAAATTCTGCCCCTTTTAACATTTACTGAGGCTTTGTTCACACCAACTAAATAGGGCTTTCAAACTGCTTTTATTTTTCAATGCAAAAAATAAACCTATTTATATGTAACTTTGGCCCTTAGATTATTTAACTGCAGAATAAAATATAAGAAAGAAGTTTGAAGCTTTATTTCTAGCACTAAATGACATTAATGCACTATGAATTGTGACTATTCCTATCATATAATTTCTTTTTATATACATGCATTAAAAATGTGAATATACATATATATGATAGATAATACAGAAAAAGTAGTTACCTAAAATAAAAACATTAGAAATCGTAAAGATCAGAGCACTATTTTTTGCTTTATCTCCCTTCAAATTATTAAATTGTGATTTCATGTGAATATTTTATGCTTCCTTTAAAAATTATTTAAACATAATTAAGTTTCAGGTTTTTAGACAGTTAAAACTAATGAAGTCCAAACCAAAAACTGAATTAATCTTTAATATCTAATTCACAAACAAAGCATATCAAAATCTATTGATCTTATTTGGTTCTTCCAAAGTAGTATTTGGTGTATATATTATTAAAGTGCTTCAACAGCTTAGCATACATGAATCATACCATTTGTTAAGAAAAATGTAAAGTATAACTTGTTGATGCTCTGCAAAAAGACAAAAAAAAGCATATAAAGCTGTTTTTTGAAAGTGTGATTAAAAATAATTTTTTGTCAGCATAAGTGCTTGGATACTCTAGTAAATTCTATTAGCAAGTAGCTCATTTTTTGGCATTTTAAAATAATAATTATCCAATCATAATAATTTACAAATAGATCTCAGTAAAATTTCCATATATATAAATAAATATATATATTGCTTTGATTATATCTACCCTTCATAGTACCCTCTAATACCACTACTTTTCCCTTGTCCTTGCATCCCTACCCATTTCATGACAGTTTATCTTCTATTTTCTAAAAGGTATAAAACAAATTTAAAGTTTCCACATATGAGAGAAAAATATGAAATTTCCCAGTTATATTCATTTTCAAATGGTTACATTTCACAAACAATAAGAAAAGGTAGAATAATATCTTTTAGGATTAATACACTACTTAATGAGAACATAATGATATGCAATGGGTTTGGAATTCTTTGATATGACGAATAATTTGACAAACTGAAAGTAAGTAAACCTGTATATGTTTGCTGTGCATTTCTTGGCATAGACAAAGTGACAAATTCTGAGAAGAAAAAATACGAGAAAATTTTGGAAAAAATAAATGTATGATGTATTGATGAAACCAGAACTGTTAATTTTAGTTTTAAATTTTTTATCTTGCATCTTTGATAATTTGAATATTACCTTATTTACTATCACAGTCTATGTTATTTATTCTGAATTAAGAATAAATATATATTTCCAGGTGTGGTGGCACAGGCACCTAATCTCAGCACTTGGGAGATTGAGCAAAGAGGAATGCTGTGATTTTGTGGCCAGCTAGGACAAACACACTGCGTTCACAACCAACTTGGGTTACACAGTGAGGCCCTGTCTCCAAAACAAATAAACAAACAACAACAAAAACAAAGCTGATATTATTACAAATTGCAATTGCTTTTACAAAATTTAACAATTAATCAGGGAATTGCATAGTTTAAAGTGGCACATTAAGTACATGTTTTCTATTAATTCAAGTTAGAAGGTCAAAATATGAACAGTAACATAGTATATATTGATGTGTTATATTGAAAACTGATCTAGAAAATGTGATATATAAAATGTTAGTTTAATATGCTCCCATCTACAAACATACACAATTTGCCCTTAAAAATAAATCTGGCAGTGTCAAAATTTATAAAATTATAAAATACCCCAAATTCCAGTGATACAAGAATCAATTATTGTGACAAATTTCAACAATCTGAGCAATACACAGAAAGTCAACAGTATATTGGCATGAGATATATAATATTAAAAAATAAACTTGCACATATATATGTAAATGATTCCTTTAATAAGAATCAAAACATATATGTATAATCCAAATCACTCAAAATTAAAGTTATAACTATTATATACACTAAAGCTATAGCATAAATCTTTTTACACTTTTAAAATAACTGTTAAAATTGTATGTCTAAAATTGTGGTTTTAATGTAAAATGCTGAGTGATTTATATTACAGAATATAAATCTGCAGCAGTAAATTCTGCATGAATGTAAGGATCTGACAATCCAAGGGAAAGAAAATGAAGTAATCTGCCAGTAAGAAGTCCTGAAGCCGGGGGTCAGATCATGTTCATGGAAACCATCTGGTTGGGACCCTCTAAGCCACACCAAACACAAATGATCTTTTAAAAAAATATCCTATTCATTAATGTATCACAGCTGCACTGAGTGTTACTTCATTTTTCCATGGCAACATCCTTTCTGTTTCAAGGATCTTGTTTCAGTTTTGGTAGCAACGCGTTCTTTTGCCAATATTGAACACATTCATGTGTTAAAGTGAAGGGATTATTACAAATTCCTGAAATAGAACCACATCTATTTTGATTCCTATTGGGTCAAGAGGGTTACTATCTAAGTTTCATATACTGAAAAAAAAATCAATGAAGTAAAAATTATTGGGTACTTTTGCTTTAATAAATGTAATGCATGCTTTCCTACTTTCAAGTTAGTATGTCATCTGAAAAGCTATTATGCTCCTCACTCTTACATGTAAGGTTTGGAAACTTAGTGGTTGTAACTCAGCTAAAAGAAAAGCCTAAGTTTCATTTACACATAAATGTGAAAATCTTAATTGGCCAACTGCCGTAATTAAATAAAATATTTCACATATACTGCAAATTTAAATAATATTCCCTTTTAAATAATGTTACCGCTTCCTATTCCCAAATAACATATTTTTCTTTCGAAATTGAAACTTTAATGATTTTTTAAAGTTTTTAAAATTATTTTTGTCTTTTTGAAACAAGGTCTCAATATGCGGTACAGGCTGACATTGTGCTCACTTTGTAGTCCAGGTAGTCTCAAACTTGCAAAGATCCTCTTGCCCAGCCTCTGAAATGCTGGAATTACAGGCATGAGCCAACATACTATATGAAAGCATTTTATTCTAGAGGATCGATTTTTAAAATGAAAATAAACATTGTAAGTTATATTTCATTTACTTTTTCTTTTCTTTACTAATGCATTCTTTATTAACTACTATGAACTGAACAGAAAGTCAGGAATAGAGGCAAAAATATAGTCCAGCCTTTAAAACACTTAAAATAAAAACATTTTTCCATATTAACAACTTATAAGAATTACTACTACTATGAAAACTGTAAAAAAAATCAAATATTTGGCTATTTTTGTTCAATCTGTCTTAGTATAAGGGACAGTGCCTACTATGTAGTGAATATTTAATAAATGTATAAAATGTAAACATTGCTATTATCATCAAATTTTAAAATAACTGCATTACATATTGCTCATAATTTCATTCCAAAAACATAGTCTAATAACGCGATTAATAAAGTTGACTTGTCACTCCAGCTGTGAGAACTCTGATCAGTTATTTAAATCCTCATGACTCCCATTTCCTCATCATAAATAGGAGAAAAATCACAGAATTTATATAAGGATTTAATATAGTAAATGTCATCCAGAACATTTGCTAAACAGTCAATTAAAAAAATAAGCATCCATTAATTCCCAGATCCAATATACTAGCCTTCACAAAGGATGTATTTTAAAATTCTATTATTTTCCTAAGTATGTAGAAGCCCTCAAAATAAGAAGCATTCTATTTATGCTACATCAAACATTCAAACCAAAACCCAAAATATTTTTCTATTTTATAAATTCTCAATTTGTTATGAAAATATTGCAAGAAACTGAAATACATCCAATTTGGGGTGTTAGGTTAAAACCCTCAAAACTGATTCTACTTGCCTTCCTTTCCAGAATGACTACTATAAATCTCTGTACTTTTTCTGTAAAAATTTGTCAAGGGAAGACATGAAAAGTTTCCTAGAATACAATTCCAGACTTCCTCCTTCTAACGAATCAGGGTAAAATGACTGTCATTTGATAAATGCCTATAAATAAGAATGTGGTCCTCTGTGAAAAACTGCCAGTGTTAAAAGTTTAAAACTTTCTTTCATAATTAAAGTAACTGACAGTTCATCTGTAAAGCCTACTCTCATTTGATTCTGACAGTAAGGGAGCTCATACAATATGATTTTTTCATCACTGGTCACATTCCATATGAAATTTCCTAGGAGAAAGAATTCAACTGGCCCAGCCTAACTGGCGTATGATGTACTGAATTAAGCACTCTGAGTGACATAACATCAAAATTACACAAAATTACACATGTAGTTTACTAAAGGATTAACAGAATCACTGACAAAGGTAAGGGACCAGGATGATCACTTCCCTTAAGGAAAAAACAAACAAACAAACAAAAAAACACAAATGATACAAAATAACAAGAACTTCAATCCAGATGAGAAAAAAGGCTAAGACTGGCAATAAAGGACAAAGTGCTCCTTTCTTAGTGAATTCCAGGTAAAGAATTTTTCTCCTTTGTCAACTGTATGCCATTATGTGCTTGTACAATTAAAACATGGCATTTTAAAGTATAATAGATAAACTCTTTGCTAATAAGCAAATGAGTAAAGTAATAAAGAACAAATGAACTTATCAAAATCTGTTATTGAAAAGCTCTGAAATCAAGTTCTTGTAAAACAAGGTGTCTATGACCACATGTATTATTATAAAATAATTCATATGAAAGGTACATTTTCCCAAGGAAAAAATAAACAAGTTATAGTAAATACTGTTCATGTCTTTACACAATATAAGGTTTCCTAATTTAAGTAAAAAACAACATGAGCTTAGTAAATGCAAACTTTGGCTCCAGAATCAACTTTCCAAAAACTCTGGTCTGAAACACATTTACTTACTGAAATTCCCAATGACAGAATAATCCTTGATGGCTTTAAATTATGATGTTTTATTTTGTCTGATGACAACTTAAGGGTTTTCTGTATTAAACCTTGGTCAATAAACTATCTTGGACAACAGATAACATTTCTTTAAAATTCAGTGTATTGGAATCTAGATTTTAATCATTTAAATAGGAACTAATTTTATTCAAAAATTTTTTCCCAATACATTAACATTTGAAATATTTAAAATATAGTATTTTTAACACACAGTGAGGGCCAAGATGAGGCAAGCAAGCAAACTATTTAGTTCATATTGAAGATAACCTCTTCAAAGGTGTATCAATTAGGTGTATCCTGCTACTATACATTAATTTAAACCCAGTAAGTTTACTCAAAATGAGAAACTGCAAAACAACCTTCATGCTTACAAAAGAATGGTAAATTTTATGTTATATGTGTTTTATTATAAGTAAAAGGTAAAAAGGAATAAGGGATAATATGATCTCTTATCATTAATTGATCTATTTATCATTAATTCATAATGACATAAGATTAAGTTCATTTACTCTAAGTGATGAAGCTGCTCAGGTACTCTACCATTATATTACAAATAAAAGAACCAAAAGCATCCTAATAAAATGTTAGAATTGGAAGTAAACTTAATTATTAATCTGTCCATCTCATATGCAGATAAGTAAGGTAAAATGCATAGTTAACATTCAGAACTGGATAATGCTGACCACTGGTTCCCTGAAATTCTACACTCCCTTGGTGTGCATGAACTCTCCAGCTTCTCATCCCACATTTCAGATTCCTATCTTACAATTTCTGACAAGCACATTTTCCTTCTACTGACTACTTTAAAACTCATGTTCTCTTGACCCAGTGCTCTTTCAACTTTGTGCTTTCTTGAGTGACCTATTTCTTGGCTTTGCTCATCTATAAGATGACTCACAAAATTATACCTTTACTCTGAAAGTGTCCTTAAACTCTACCTAGAATTTCTACTACTAGATAGCTGGATATCTTTTACATATTTCAAGTAGATGTGTAAATTCAAACTTCCTTTTTGTCCTTAACCCCGAAAGCTGTACTAGTTTCGTCAATGGCATCACTATATACCCAAATACCGGAATTGGAATTTGGCCAACCTCTTAGACGTTGTTCCATCATTCTCTAAAATCACTAATTAAGTTTCAGGTATCATTGTTCAGCTTGGCCTACTGCCTAGCATTCCAAAACCATTGCATTACATATTTTGTTCATTTTCTTGGTTATTCCAGGGAGCAAAATAAATTTACTCCCCTCTCTCTGGACAGAGGCAGACACGCACCAGTATGTTGTATTGTGGAACACAGATGTGCCTACCTGTTAGCTTATAAACACAAAGACTTCAGGTATCACTTGGAATCTTAAAACTTTAAAGTTTTCCTGGAGCTGTCAAATACTCATTAACTTGATATTATTATTCATGTATTTGTTATCAGACCTTCTCAAAATGAATTTAAAATGGTAAGCAGACATACTACAGAATTCTTTACAGAATGGGTAACAAGGCATGAGGAATTCAGCATAGTGGTATACTGTTTTTTTGTTTTGTTTTGTTTTCTTTCTTTTTTTTTTTTTTAATCGGTACCGGGGATCGAACTCATGACTGCCTGCTTGCAAGGCAGGTGCTTATGCTGCTGAGCTAAATCCTCAGTCCTAGTATACTCTTATAATACCAACACACTTTGATGCTGTGGCACAAGAATGACAAATTTGAGACCAGTCCTACTTAGTGAGAACTTATCTCAAAGGAGGATTGGGTACGCACATCACTTCTAGAGTCCTGAGCTGAATCCCCAGTACCATAAACAGGAAAAACAAAAGGCATAAAGTTACTTTTAATACCAGTTCTTATATCATTATGACACAGCATTCACAATCATAGTAAACATTAAATAGCGATTATTCTTGATAACTATCTTATTCTAGAGTACATTACATAGCAGAGTCAACAGTTTTTCTGTAACTCAATAAATATGGTATATTTTGGCAGGACTGTTGGGAAAAACAAACCCTTCTCCACTGTTGGTGGGAATGTAGACTGGTGCAACTACTGTGGAAATCAATATGGAGATTCCTCAAAAAACTAAAACTAATGGTTCCATTCTTCAAAAAACTAAAACTAATAGTTCTCCATCTTGGTATATTCCTGAAAGAATTAAAAGTGTTATACAACACCAATATATAGTGATAGTGAAATCTTAGAGACAGCCAAACGCCCATCAGCCAACCAATGGATAAAGATGATGTGTTTGTTTTTTTTTTTTTTTAATGTACAATCGAGTGCTATCCAGTCTTAAAGAAGTATAAACTCAGATTATCGCATTGTTTCTCTGGCATGAGAAACACGGGAAGTGTAAATAAGCACCAAAATGTATAATAGATATTGTGAAGAGAATATTCAACTATGATGGGTAACTAGGGAGGAGGCAGGGGGAAAGCAAGGAAGAGAAAAGTGGGAAGAATGGAAAAAAAGCTTTTGTAAATAAGGAAAAGAGCTGAAGGAGGGGTAAAGGAATGGGACAGTTACAAATTCTCTATGATGTATATTATCACAATGACTGTCTAAATTATATCAATACACTTTTTAAAAAGGAAAAAGAAAAACAATATATATTTTTCCTGTATAGTTATTTTCCATCTCATTTATTCTTTCTGTTATATTTTATTACTTCCTCCAAAATCAAGATTTTGTTATGTTTTCCCTTTTGCATAAAGTTGCTCCAGCATACATTAAATTTCAGGCTGGAGAAAAGTTTGGTCTTTGTGTATTTATTTTGATAAGATATTTTGCTAGATATGAAATTACATGCCAACAATTTGTTTCTCCCCAGCACATTAAAAGATATTATTCTATTCTCTTTTGGCCTTGACTGTTTCATTTTTGTTTTGTTTTTTAGCACTGGCAACAGAAACCAATGTTTTGACACTAAGCTATACAACCTCAGATCTTTTAAAAATTGTTTCACTTTGAGACAAAGTCTCACTAAGTCACTAAGCTGCCCAAGTTGGTCACCAACATGTCATCTGGCCTCAGTCTCCCACAGTGCTGGAATAACAGTCATGCTAGTCTTCTGATAAAAGGTCAGGAGTTACCAGTATCTGTATGTAATATGCCTTTTGTTTCTGCCTGCTTCAACATTTTTTTGACTTCTGATTTTTAGAAATTTGGCTATGACACACCTAACTGTCATGTTCTTTGTAGTTACTCTATTTAGCATTTTCTGAGACTATTTGATCTATGATTGTTTCTCACATTTTGGATTTTAGCACTTCATGTTGCGGTACTGCCAATTTGGGAGTCCAGCACTTTATGGGTTTATAATAACTATGAATTTGTACATCATACAGCTTGCATTCATTGCTAGGATGTAAGAATTTTCTCTCTCAACGTTTTGTATTATAATCAGAAGTAATTTTGATCTTACTTCAGTATTACTCTCTGCTACATTTAGAATTGCATAAACATGTCTCAGTTGTCAGTCTTTCAAATTTTATGTAAAAATGAAAGACTTTATATAAAAACCTAAAATCTGCAACTGTTATTTTTACCTAATTCTTGTGACATTAGATAAACATCCAACTATATATGTTTTGATCAGTTTAAATATGGTTTGTAAAGAGACAATGTAAAAGGGTTGAATTACATTCATTTAAAATTGAAAATAATTGAGTACAAAATTTAATAAACAATAAACGAAATACCTAGAATTATAACTGTAATATTTAATTTACAATTAGGTAGGAGAAACAATTAGATAACTCTTTATGTTAACTGAATTCCAATTCAGATCATTTCAACATGGAGATAAATGTGAATTGAACATGGAATGTTTAAATATTTCAAATATTTACAAGAAACAAAAAGTAGAAAGAATGACAGTTTTTCAAATGGTAAGAACCATGTCAAAATGCGTAAATTTTCATAGAGCATATATGCTTCATATAATTTTGTTTATGATAAGCAAAGTATACTACCTTTTCAAATAAATTGTAGAAATGAGATTAACATAACTATTATAAGAAATATTTATCAATATTAACAATGTTAAAAGTTTTTAAGTATTATAGAGACTAGAGTCATATTTCCCTTTTATTTTACCTGTATTGTAAGACTCTTCACTGCATTCCATACTATTCCAATAAATTCTTTCATTCTTTCTTCAGGACTTCTACAGCCTTCAGATATATTTAACATGGCTTTCACAGGAACAGACAGTGGTCGAGATTCTAAGTATAAGAAGTAATTATTTAACAAAGATATACCTTTTGACAGAAGCGTACAGAAAATATTTTCAAGATGGTTTCTTTCATTGTTCAAAATCTTGTACATCAGATTACAAAGTGTCATGTTAAGACGATTTTATCTTACAGAATTTGCCACTTTTCAAGACACTGACAACTGGAAGGCAGAACTACAGTTAGGGCTGTGTTCTATTTACTGGTTACAGAGGGCTTCCCTTTATGAAAATTCATTAAGCAGGTATTTAATTTAATCATCTTTTCAGTATAAAATTAATAATCCATAAATATGTTTCTTCAAAACAACTGATAGTAAATGCATACTACCTTATGAAATTTACTGATTATAAATAGTTACACACAGAATAATTTTTTTTTGGTCTTTTTCCTTTTTTATTGGTACCAGGGATCGAACTCACGACTGCCTGCTTGCAAGGCAGGTGCTTATGCCACTGAGCTAAATCCCCAGCCCCTATACACAGAATAATTTTTAAAAAGTGATTTTGGTGGTAACCAAAGAAATACATAAAAGGTATATTTATTTCTTAATGAAATGTGATATTCTACTATATTATTAAAATATTTTCTCAATCACACAAATTTAACTATTGAAAGATAATAGAAATTACTTAATTTATAACAATCTATAAATTAAATTTACCTAAGTAGATGCACATATATCTTAATGTTCATACGAATATAAAATTTACACTATTTAAACTAGCATAGGATAAATAAATCAGGTCTTGACTTTCAAACAAATGAAGTTTGAAAAAAACCTAGATGCTCTCCAAAATAAATGCTACCATATTAACACCATGAAACTGACTACCATATCCACCCACACCTCCTTTCTTCACCCACCTTGGTTCACATATACACACTTAAACTAGATTTAAAATATCTTAGGTGCATCAAGCATGGACTTTTATCATTCTCTCAAGTCTAAAGGCCAGTGAACCTAACATAAATTTTTTAAAAAAATTATTAAAGAAAACTAATTAGAAGAGACTGAAAGAGATATCCAAGATCAAAACATTATAGGCAGACGAGTCAAAAATATAAATGCCCAGATTTAACAATGTGCTTGGAATTTTTGAGCATTTTCTTGTAAGGAATTTACAGAAGCAAGCATGGTCTAAGCAGACAGGAAGAAAGGTAAGAAAAGCAGATGAGGTTAGAGATACATATAAGAACCAGAAAATACAAGGTGTATATAGGTCATGGTTAATAAGAAGTTTATAGACACGGCATTATTGAACATTTGTTTTGCAGTGATTTCTCTGGATGGTATAAATAAAGTTGTCCACAAGGGTTAGGCTGTGTGAGAAGGTGGTAGCTATCGAGATAACAACAAGTGATAGAAATCTATAACCATTTCTAACATATAACTAACTGGACTTAGTAATGAACTAGATGTATACTAAGAGATAAAAAAAGAAGGTTAAATGATTTCAAGATTTAAGTCCTATGAACTAAAAGAATTGATCTGTTGGAAGAGAAGATTAGGGAGAAAAAGGAACTTGGTTTTGAACATGCTTAGTTGAGAATTTCATTAGAAATCAAGTAAAAATATCAATATGATAAACAGATAACTACAAAAAATAGAACATTATATGCTCAGATAATGCAAAGGAAAAATGTGAATAGTTTATGAGTAAAATGTCCAACCTTGATAAAAAAAACAAGGAAACAAAATTAAAGGCATCACTCAGATCTCCTTCTCATCTCGTTCTTTAGCAAACATTTTAAAAAGTTAACTTATAGGCTAAGGTAGAGCTCAGCAATGTAAGTGCCTGCTTGGCAAATGCAAGATCGCAAGTTCGATCCTTGGTACCAAAAAAAAGGTTGATGGGAATAAATAGTATAGAGATGGTCTGGGTAGTGGAATTACAATGGGGAAAGAGAAATTTCAATCTATCAAAATATAAACATGTATGTTCTCTTACATACTATCTCTATGAATCTGTGATAAAAAGTACGAAAACATGAGACAATACATTCACATAATTTATAAAGATATTCAGCAAAGATGCCTCTAGCTGCAATAGCAAAAACAGGAAGGAAAGAGGGAGGAGGAGGATAAAAGACAGTAGAGAAGACAAAGAGAGAAAAGGTGAAACTTACTTTCCGGTCCATGAAAAAATGATTAATTTTATAATAGATGGATAATTCCACAGTTCAAGATGAGAGTTAAAAGTGAGGAGGAGAGTATATTTTCAGTACTTTACAAAGTGAAAAAAACTTCGTCAAAAATGTTTTTAAAGCAGTATGTAAGTTTAGGTGTAAACTTACTTTCAAATACATAAAAAAAGTTGAGGCAGAATAAAACGCAGACCTGAACAAAAATTGTCTGAGGACAATGATGTGGAATTGATGAACAATAAAGAGATGTGGGTTTTTAATTTTCTACTAAGTATATTAGCATGAATTATTTTACAAGAATTATGTATTATATATTTAAAAACACATTATTCACTTTGTATTTATTTGGACTTCTTTACTTTTTTTTTATGTTTGTAGTTCTAGGAAGAAAATGGTTATGTAAACTTGTTGACAATCTCTAACAGTTTAAATAATGGGATTAAAATGCAGACCAAATTTAAAATTTTTGAGATAGTCAGTCTAAAGAAAATCATAAAAGTTGTTCATGGTAAAATTATTTTTAAAATCTACTGCTATAAAATATTTGTGCTATATAAATATTACTGTTACAATTCAAAATACATCAAATTCATAAATGCTAACAGAGGCATTACTGTGTGATTATGAAGCAATGTTTTCAGCAATCACTAACCAAGAGTAACATGTTTATTATAAATGCTGTATTATGATAAAGTAATCGATCCCTGGTACCGATAAAAGGAAAAAGACCAAAAAAAAAAGAAAGAAAGAAATATGCAATTGATTAAAATTTTTCATTAATTAACATAAACTGGTCAGCACACCAATCCTTACCATAGGACACCTTTGTAGTGAAGAAAGGACAGTATTTTCTGTATGTAACCATATTCTACACATAGGATTTTTTTTTTCTTTTCTTTCTCTTTTTGTTTTCAGTACTAGGAATTGAACTCAAGGCTGACAGGGTATTTTATAAAATGGGCAATCTTGACCTACATTTTAATTAACTGAAAACTATTCACATCTATTATATTGCGGACTCTGCTTTAAGTACTTCAAATACAAGAAATAAACTACCATGCAGACTCTTACTATCATAATTTTCAGATAAGGAAATCTACCTTATCTTTTAGAAGTCAAAAGAAGAATATGAACCTCAGCAGCATGACTCCAGAGTTTATCATTTTAATTTTTATATTACATTGCCTCTTCTACTGTATAGACGCAGTATAATAATTTCTGGTTCTGTCAAATATATAATAAATGTATAACATTTATACTATCAACAGTGTCAAAAAAGTATAGAAAATATGATTTATTTCCAATGAAGATATACAGATCCTATTTTTTACATGATTCCAAACATATTACATATTTTTGTTAGCATCAATAAGATAACTTTATAAATAAGTTTTATTGGTTAAAATATTATTTAATATGGATGTATCACCCATAATATATATTATTATTGTGTATATGTGCATGGAAAAGAATACTACTCTTCCAGTTAGCTTGAGTTAGTGTTTTAATTATGTAATTTGTCATATGAATTCTGAAAAGCAATTTATCTGTTAATTGACAGTTTTGTAAATTGTAACAAAATGCTAATAATGTTATTGTAACAAAAAGCTAATGTTAAGATCCTATACCAATAATACTATTCAGTTTAAATGCTATAGTATAATATACAAAAAACCAAGTTACAAAAGAACTACAAATTCACAGAATAATGGTAAAAACTTTAATCATTAATTATATATAAAAAATTTAAAGGTTACCAATCTAAAACTGAATTATATGCCCCTTCTACAAAAATCAGCCTATTAGTTCTACCTTAAATGCTATTTCCTCTGGAAATGGTCATTGATTTACCAAAATTAGATTTAGTCCTTCCTCTATAATCTGACAGAAATCTGACATAATTCTATACAATGTATAATTCTTCATGGTATAACATTAAACATTTGAATGTCTCTCCAAAAGCAGCAGCAAAACACAATGACATGGGACAGCAACAAGTAAATAGTAGTCAACGGCTTAATATTAAAAACACACTCTGGATTATGTCCCCAACTACTACTACTCTTCCAGTGAGATGAATATTCTTTATGTACATATTTGTTAACATGTCACCAATTAGAAACAAATGAAAAAGCATAAAGGTCAAAATTTTAGACAGCAAAACTAAGTAACTATATTAATTATTTTTATTATTTCATATTTCAGTCAATGATTTATATTAAAATATCCCTTTGCTCTTTCAGTTAAAAGTTGAATTGAAACGTGGTAACAAAAAAATCTCTGTTCTTATTTCAGGAGTTTGTGTAATGATGTCAATGGTTAAATGGTTACCACTAAATACCCAATTAGCATTTTTAAAGGAGGGCATCAGTTTTAACATTCAATTCAAATGACTTGTATTCTTCAGGGAAAAATTCTTGTAATAATGAGATTATCTCACAATTTTCAAAGCCTCAAAGAATATTTGGTCAGCTGCAATTGTTCTCCCAGTAAGTGCTTCTCAAAGTTAACCTCATTCCATTCTAGTTCATGTCATCTGCTACATAAAGCCCATATAGAAGATGCTATCACTATGTTAAGTCATATTTGGTACTTAGGGAATAAGAGATGTCTTTCAATAGAAGAATAATAAAATTCTTGCTATCACAAGTTTTCTTTTCAATATATAACATCTAAACACCAGTGTACATGTTTATGGACTTCCTCCAATAGACTATTCATATCAAAAGAATATTCACTTCAATGAAAGAAGAATTTGTATTTATTTTATGAAGAAATTGGTATATAGCTCAATAATCAATAAGTTATTATATTTAAGAGAAAACAAACTATATATGTGCTTG